AGGGAGGGAGGGAGGGAGGGAGGGAGAGAGAGAGAGAGAAAAATACAGTAGGTAAGCAGGGAGAGAGAGAGAGAGTAGATAGGTAGGTAGTTGGTAGGTAGATAGATAAAGGAATATATATATATAGAGAAATAGTGAGAGAGAGATATAAATACAGTAGATAGGTAAGGAGAGAGAGAGAGAGAGTAGGTAGGTAGGGAGATGTTTCCAGGTGTATTTATCCATGTGCTGGAGAAGGAAATCGCTGACAACCTGTAGCACCTAAAACTCATCAACTACTTTAAACAGCTTTCTGAAAGGGGGAAAAAAAGATCTTGCTCTGCAAACCTCCCCAAAACGGCCCGTTTTTCGTGAAAACGGGTCAGTTTTTGTTCAAATAAACGGCATGAAAAGCCATGGGGGGGGGGGCTGCAAAGTGCTCCTGGGGGGTGGACCCCCCAAAAAGAGCAAAAAACAACCCATTTTTTGCAAAAATGGGCCTTTTTTGTCAAACAAAATGCATGCATTGCCTTATGGAGGCTTATAGAGTGCTGCTTATTAGCAAAAATTGTGTTACTAGTTTATGAATGGGGAAAAAAACTTACTGTTTTTACTCTACTATGCTAATCACATGAAGTGTCTTTTTAATACATCTTTGTAACTTTGCCAATTATTTTCTTCACATAGAGATAACTGCATATTATGTTTGCTGACTTTCTCTCAGACAACAGACACAAGAGTGCACATTATAATCAATAGTCATTTGATACAGGGCATCAAATTACCAAGTCTTAATTGTATTATTGCTCCTTGCTAATTAGTCCTTGGGTATTTTAAAATTTGTTGGCTATCTAATTTCACATGCTCTTGGGAGCAGCAAACTGAGATGCAAACCTAGCATTAATAGAAGCAGTTTGTTACAGTTGCTTTTTTATTTTTTTTTAAAAAGTGTGTCAAAAAGTGTGGATATTTTTAATTTAAAAATCCCCAGCAATGCTGAGATACAATATGTCTCTCTCTGGGCAAATTTTGGCCAGCTACTCTGGAAAAGAGCAATTTTTTTTTACTTAATTAAGCTGACAATAATATTACCAGAAGGACTTATGTAACTTAGCTTCAATAAAATCACTACATAACCAATTCTGATTGATTACATAGCAGTATGAGGCCATTACATTAGTTACCCAATAGCAAATACAATATATGCAACTATAGAAAACATCAAGAGGGAAGGTAGAAATTAAATGAAATAATAAACTGAGAAAAAGTACATCAAACTATTTAAAAGACTGGTTAACTTTATCCCCTATTCAAAAATAATATAGACAAAACATCGCATAGCTTTAATAAATGAATATTTCACAACATTTGGGGAATGTGACACTAACCAGTCAAAGCAATGGTTATTTTAAAAACTGTCAAATACATGGTGGCATCTTTCTTTACTCTTTAGTTCATAAAATATCTCTGTGGACCCTGAAGGTTTTTTCTTTCTTTCTAGGACCCTTTCTTTCTAATTTGGGGTATGGTAAAACGAAGCTGTTAGTTTCGAAGACTAACTGCTTAGTTATGCAAAAGTTTTACTAAATGGTGTACTTCAAGGCTACTACTGTGATTGTGAAGTAAGGCTCAATGCTCTTAATAGCTCTATGGCAGTATATCACTGCAGCTAGTAAACATGTTTTCCCCCCCATACATAAAAAAAATAATTTCTGCCCATGACAGAATTCTGCCCTAAGGTTCTGACCTAACAATACAAAGATGCAAAAATGCAGTACAGCCAATTATGTTTTAAGGAATGCTATGTAGTTTTGATATAGGAGTTCTTATCTAAGCCAGGTAAATATGAGAGATTAAATATTTAAATACCTTGTCAAGATCTCTCAAACTACAGGTGTCCCTTGACTTACAACCATCCGTTCATCTAGTGACTGTTCAAAATTACAACAGCACTGAACAAAGTGACTTTACATTCAGTTTTGAGCTTATGACAGTCATAGTATCCACATAGTCCTATGATTAAAAATTGGATGCTTGGCAACTAACATGTATTTAAAACAGTTGCAGAGTCCTGGGATCATATGATCACCATCTGCAACCTTCCCAGTTGGCTTCCAACAAGCAATGGTGGAAGTCAGATTTGCTTAATGACCATGTGATTCACTTAACAACTGCAATGGAAGTTCTGGTCCTAATTGTGGTTGTTTGTTGAGGGACTGCCTGTATTATACATTGTTATTATTATTCACAACTCATTCACTTGTGCTTCAGTACTCTATCCTTATATTGAAATACAGTTTACTCCAGAAAAAAAAAAAAAGGAGACAGAATTAAAAACAAAAGGAAGTAGTCCCATCCATGACTCCTCCCTCATATGTTGCCTCCTACAGAACACAGCCATTAGCAGAAAAGGGTCTTCTTCCATAGCTTATAAGCAGAACTTTATTTAGATCAGTGTGTCTCAACCTTCCTAATGCGGCAACCCTTTAATATAGTTCCTCATGTTGTGGTGACGCCGAACCATAAAATTGTTTTATGTTTTCCGCATTTTTTCAAAAATATGTGTTTTCCGATGGTTTTAGGTGACCCCTATGAAAGAGTTGTTCGACCCCCAAAGGGGTCCCGACCCACAGGTTGAGAACCACTGTTTTAAAGTGATGTTGACATCACTGGACCTTTGTCACCTAGTCAGCTGGAGGGCCCTGCCTGCTCCCCTAAGGCCTCCCTGCATTCCTCTGCCATGCTCAGGGCACCCACGGGGCCTGGAAGCTAGCTGGAACTGGGATGGGCACGCGCTGGCCAAAGGTGGCTCAAATGGCGCTTGCAGACTCTTCAGGAGGGAAGGGCCGCCTGTTGGTCGGATTCCTTCCTCCCACCGCCCTCGGATTCCCGAGACTTAGCTTCTTCTTCTCTGGAAGGGAGAGACTAGCTGGCTCCCCGGACTAGTCTCCAGCCTCCCTGCGGCGTTCTGCAGTCGCTGAGGGTTGGCTGTATCTCCATTAGGGCTGCCTGGGCTCTCCGCTCTTCCTGCTGCTTTCACAAGCGAGGCTTCGAAGAACTCCGCTCTCCTCACGAGCCGCACGTCCTCCTCTTCTCTGCCTCGCTCCGGAGTGATTCAAAATGGCGGCGGGTGCGCGCGCAGCCACCTCCCGCTCTTTTTTGCCTCACAGCCCGAAAAGCTCGCGAAGGTTTCAACTGTCGCCGCTGTTGCCGGGCAGAGTTGAGAGCCGAGTTGGCCAGCAGCTAAGAAGCCTGCAGGCTCCCAGAACGTCAGCTGGGGGGTTTAAAACCCCTGGGCTCAGGTGGGGATGGTCTCCCACCGCCCCTGCCACTCGCCAGCAGCCGCTGGGCGAGGGATCACAGACCCCTGGAGCGCTTGCGACCAGCTGCTGCAGAGGAAGCCTGGGTGCCCTCTTAAAGCGACACAAACCTCCAGGAATCAAACCTGACAGTTCTTATAATAGATAGACAATTCTGTAATTAAGAAGTCAAACGTGGTCCAATGTGGGAAACTTTCCAGCCTATCTGACCTTAGACTGGAGCACTCCCAAAACAGTCCCAACAGGCGGATTGAGTTTTTAAACTGAGCATGAAGAGGCAAAGGGAGGCGTGGTCAACAGAAAAACATCACTCAGTCCAAGGGCAGTTAGGCTGTGTTAACCCACTATTGGACTCTCCGAGCAGTGCACTGGAGAAATATGTGTTTTCCTATGGTTTTAGGCGACCCCTATGAAAGAGTTGTTCGACCCCCAAAGGGGTCCCGACCCACAGGTTGAGAACCACTGATTTAGCTCATCATTCTGCCTTGAAACAGCAAAATAAGCCCAATTCAAAGTAAGTTTCAGTACAGTTCATCAAGAGCCAGTGGTCAGTTGTTTATTCCTTTAAATTATTTTGATAGACTGCAACCCAGTAAAGGCTTTGCATATATGGAGACGTTAAAAAGCTTACCATGGACCTACTCTTATCTTGAAACAATGAGTACGTTTTATGTTCTTCTGATTCTGTTGTGGGGTTATTCTGATTGTCCACCGGAAGGACTGTATCTGGCTGATCTCTCATTCCAGAATTCTTGAAGATGTCTGTCTGCAGAGTATCACAGAAACTGTTATTTTTTAAAAAATCTAAACATTGAAGAACATCACTGAACAAAGGAACACTAGGAAGGAAGGTGGGATACAGATAGTCCTCACTTAATGACCAGTCACTTAACAAATGTTGAAAGTTATGATGCCCCCCCCAAAAGCTACTGCTTACAACACATCTTTTAATGTTTCACTCCTGCATCAACCCCTCCCCCACAGTCATGTGACCATATTTTGGCCACTTGGTGATAGGCTTGCATTTTACACTGGTTGCAGAGAGATTTGCAATGTTTTTGCTGGTTTCTGGCAAAAAGCATCCATTCAGAAAAGTGGATTTGCTTAAGAACCATATGATTCATTTAACAGCCACAGTGAGTCTTTTTGCAACTGTTGTTAAAATGGTCATAAAACCCAGGCAGGTCACATAATGACTCACTTAACCACAATAAATATGACCAAAATTCCAGGCTCAATTGTGGTGGTTAAGTGAGGACTATCTGTATATAAAACATCCTTGTACTGGACAGCTAGTTCCATGTTATGTGTTTGGACTAAAACATCTGTATTTGATCTGGGCATAGACTATAATTACAAATATTCCAAGCAGAGGTATGTCAAACGTGACATTGGGTCCCCTCCTTAAAACTTAACAATTTAACTGTTTAATTGAATTTAATGATATCTGACCTGTAACTTATTTGTCTGGGAGAATTCCTTGATTATGTTTAGAAGAGGAGCCAACACAGTAGATTTTGCTGCAGAAATGCCATCAATTCTTTTCATAATTTCCACACTTGTAGGCCTGAAAAAATAGAACAGATATTCTATGATTTTATTATTTTAAGTTTGATATATGAAGGTAAAAAGGAAAAAAAAGACTTATAGATGCAGGAGGGAGAATATGAAAGTACTTGCTGAAGAATCTGAAAACAGAAATTAAAACTTAGATAAGCTAGCGAAGTTTACAATCAATTCCAAAGTTACATACATAACACTGTAATTATTTTAGGGAGAATTCAAGCATATGCAGATGTGAATATTGTGTGAACGGATCACAGCTGAGCAATGCCTAACCACAGTTTCAGTCTGAATAGTGTATTAACATTATGGAATGTTTCACTGCCAGAAGGAGAAAAGTGATCACTGGCTTCTGATCTGCTTGACCACCTTTTATTTTACCTATATTATTGCAAAATGAAATTTAAATTCATATTAAGGATAATTTTGATATTTTATTATTTATTTTATGGAATTTTAATGTTTTTTACTTTTCAGAACAAATCCCGAGCTGATAAATTTAATAAATGCAGTTGTGGTGTATAATTGGCATCAACTTATGTCAGTGTGAATCATTTGAACAGATTTAGAAGGATGATATTTTTTAAAAAAAAAAACCCATTCTAATTATTTGAAATGTTATCAAAACAGGTGGGTCTAAATTCTCATTAGTCAAGAGCAACTGCATGAGATAAACATGAAAAGTCTAAAATGTTTGGAAATCATTGTAATAATTCCTCAGTTAGAGACACAAAGTAAATTCTGTAGAGCTAAAGATGAAAATGAAAAGACAAGCTGTCAATGCTTGTGGTATGTAAACACATTTTCCCCCTTTCTGTTATATTGTGGGCAACTAGATTTTCTAAGTTTTAGGGATAATTACTTAGTTCAGGAATTCTCAAACTGGGACAAGTCACTCTGAGGAGGTCAAGAAAAAGGAAGATAGCAATTATGTTAAGCAAATGAACGTTGTTGGGTGACAAGAAAAAAGCTAAAAAAATCAATCTTCCCTCAGTTTTGATGACTGTAAGTTTGAGTTACGACGAAAGCAAATGGGTTAATTTATTACTCAATCCTAACTCCAATGAAATTATTAATTTATTCATGGGGTGGAATGGGAAGTTGAATTCATACAAATTCATTTAACATTTTAAAAGATGAGAATCCCTTGCCTTTCCCCAGCAAAATGATTCCTGCTGTTCTCCAACATGTATCAAATGATGTTCATTCACTCACTTCAATGAACATTCATACCTTATCAGAGTCATATGAAGCAGCACTTTATTTGTTGCAAGCACAGCTGGAGGGATATCCCTTTCACTGGCAAGTTTCTGCCTGGCTGCCAATAACTTGCCATACAGTACAGTCTAAAAGAAACAAAAAGATGTTTACAAATTATTGCATTGAAAGGCAACACTCTTTTAAAATATCAATAAACAAACTTGCTACTCCATTTAAAATATGTCCTTAAAACAAAGGATGCAAATATAAACAAGAACAAGAAGTAGGCTATCTATCAGGAGCATTATCTTTCATTTTAATTCAGAATGGAATGCCTCATCTAGGATGGCATTTTTAAATGTACGCTTTTGTGCCTCTGAATTAGACTTGCCTCCCGGCAACTGCCTAGGCAAGTCCCTGGAGTTTACTGGCAATATTTTCAAAAGTGGTTTATCCTTCTTCCTAGAATTTAGATGGAGTGACTGGCCCAAGGTCAACCAAATGGTTTCATGCTTCAAGTGGGACTAGAAGTCACAGTCTCAGTTTCTAGCCCGATGCCTTTAACCACTACGCCAAACTATCTTTCTTAGATGTTGAGTACATCATTCAGAATCATTAACATTACTCTCTTCCCTTCCAAACTATTACGTTTTACTCAGATGCCATTATGAGGGAGTCAAACAGATTAGCATGATGAAAGCAGTATTGTACTATCAGCCTTATCCCTTTATATCTGTGCCATGATATTGCAACGATCTTCCAAAGCAGCAGAATTCATTATGTAATAATATTTTCCACATTTTGACAAAAGAAACATGATTCCCAGTGAGGTATGACTTAATTTTCACTTTAAACTAAATCAATCCATTTATTATGATTTCTATAATCATGAAAGAAACCTGGTTCTCGTATGAATCTAATCATCAAACACTGGGTATACTAACCTGCAATTCCTTCTCCCTTTCAGATATATCAGTTACTGTATCACTCAGAGAGCTGCAAGGCAGTGATAACTGCACAGAGGCACTACTATTGAAAGAAAAACAAATAAGAGCAAATAAGCCAAATAAGAGCACATAAACGCTTGCATTTCCCTAGAAGGGGCCAATTAATGAAGGAACCAAAAGGTTGTGAAATGCATATTGGATCAAGTATAAAAGACATGCTTATGGCACAACTGGAGGAATAGACACTGTTGTTAATCTTTCCACAAGGAATCTACATGTTTTGTTTTTCTGGGAAAATGACATTTTAAAGATATTCAGTGAAAAAGCCATTCCTAAACTTAAATTGGTGACAGTAGCATCAGCATACAAACTTATTATAGAGTATTCCAACTTTTATCCACCCAATATATTCAACAAACATTAATATGAAGAGATACAAAAAAAGTATAGAAAAAGAAAAACTAATAGTATTTTCAGAAATACCTTTTATCCGAACATATACTTTGGCTGGACATCTTACTACTTTTTGAATAGGAAAACATTTCATGCAGAGAATTGTTCTTCAGTAACATAAAGTTAAAAAAGAGAGAAAAATAGAGATGCATCTTATAATTTTTTTAGATACATTTAAATAGACGTTTTAAAATATATATAACTTTACAAGTAATTTAATAGGATTAGGACAAATCACATCACCACAGTTTGCTTGGGTTTTGATAACAGGAAGCATTAACTTTGAAAAGTGGAAAATATAAAGATAATATTGAACTAATTATGATATGAAGCTAATTACTTTACAGTTGAGCAAAAATGCCAATGCAGCCATGGTTGGCATCATCCAAGCCAAAATACAGAACAGTCTTTTGACTTCTTGGGTAAGAATGAAAGCCAGCATCATTTCAAAACTTAACCAGTTTAAATTTCTGGTTTCTTATTTCTAAAATACTTATTTCAACATGTTACTGATTTTTCTACCCCTTTTATTGAGGAACCAGAAATAAACATCAACTGGATTTTGTACAATTTTATCTTGTTTTCAGATGCCTGCTCTGTGAAATATTCTCCTCCTCTCCAGAGATCCAGGAGGCCTTAATTCTTTTTGCGTCCTGGAAGGTCTTAAAATGCTGGTTCTTTCACCAAGCATTGTAATTAGGTGAGGTTGTAGGCCAAGACTGGGAACTGTTCGCTAGTCACTGTTTTCTGCATGTTGCTTTTAATTATTTCCTTTACATTCTTATTGTTGTTTGCTGTGAGCTGCGCAGAGCTGTAATAAATGCTCACTGCTGATTTTATAAAGAAACGTTTTTCTCTAATGAATGTCACAAGTAATTTGTCATTTACTTTCTTTTGTCACAAATAATATTTCTTCTTTCAATAGTATCTTACAGAACTATGGTTCATTTTACCAGATAGCTTCAATTTTCACTCACAATTAACAAACTTGCTAGATTCCTCTGATCGTCTATATACCAGACACGTTTCATCTCAAACCCACAAGAACAATGATTTTAACTGATTAATTTATGCTGCTAGATTTTTCTTCCAACTGGAGGAATGCGTGCAGCTATCAGGAACATAGTTCCAGTAAAGCTCTTTCAACCATTTCTAAATTCAGCAAATTTGTTTCCATATGGAACTTGTCTAACAATAATTCCTCTATTAATGAGAGGAATTATAGATAGATCTGTTATGTATAATCAATGCTATTCATGCTGCTACTGCCTCTGACTAAGAGATAATATCTCTAGGTTACCAGAAAAGATGTATCTTTGATATAACACAGACCTGTTCCCTGAGTGTTGACAGAGGTAACCCAGCACTGGAAACATGTCCTGCTTCTGCAGAGATTTGTTTATTACTGTAAAGGGGAAGATAAAGAAGTTTAGACATCCTGAAAGCAAAAACCAGTCCCACAGTAAACTTTCTTTGCAAAGCATTCTGATTCAAACAATTCTGAATGTGAAGCAACTTGGAAGGTGCAAAGCTCAAAACAGAAAAAAAGATGGTTACAATCAGACTAATTCTGCATATACACAGGCAAGAGAGCTATGGGTTTAAATGTACTACTTTCACACAATATAAAGCTCAACATGTTAAAGAAGGTAGCAACTACTTACCTTAATGTGTAATGTTTTGTCTCAGTATTGACAAATAGAAACTAATTCTTAACTAGCAGCCTTGGAAAAACATTCAACTCTAAATATCCATAGATTTGAAAGCACAAAATATATTACTTTGGCTGGCAAAGGATTCTGAGAATTGTAGAATCCAGAAATTTTGACTAGTCTAGAAACAAAAAAAGTCTCCAGGACAGACTAACAGAATGGCTTGAAATACATGCACTTCAGAATCAGAAGATATAGTCACCTTGGAGTAGGTTTCTTTAAGTATAGTTCCTCATCAGATGGAAGTAAAAGGCTCTGCTCTTTTCTTGATTTACTGAGCCAATCTTTACCCTGAGAGCAAAACAAATTACTTAATACACTGATGCTCCATTGTCACTTAACTGAGCACTTTGTCTGATGACTACAAACCTACCTTCTCAGTAAGCATGCACATGAGTGCAAACTTGTTTTGACCAGAAACTTCTTTAAGAAAACCCTCAAGCATGAGACGTCGGCCCAGTGCCTTCCATGAGTGCTCTGGCCAATCCTTCCCGCTTCCAAACAGAGCATAAGTCCGGAATTTGTCTGGGAGACGCTGAGACAACTGGTTTAAAACCAAAAAGGCTAGTAATACACTCAAGAATACAGTATTTAAAAGACACAATTCTCTATTTGCTTCTGCACAATTCTATATAAAGTCATCACTTAACAATGTAGCCTTTCTATTATCCCATCAAGAAATATACATCTTTCTAATATACAGAAAATGACTGCCTGTTCCAAGAGAACCAGTGTGATAAAAAGTAAACAAGCTGCATTAGATTTCTTTGAAAAAAAAAAGAGTTGCATAAGGGTTTATATATTTATATTGATTGTTCCTGGAAAGGAAGACCTTTTTTCCAATATAGGCCACATTTAAAATAAGAATAAAATAGATTAAAATCAGTTCAAAATACATCACTGGAGGAAAGTTTGTTTTTGATCTAAGCTTTTTTTTAGAAAAGATCATCTGAAATGAAAAAGTTTACATTTAACTATTAATGTGCTTAGAATAAGAAGGCAGATCAGATTTTAAGAAACTGGATCCTAAAAGCAAAGGGCATTGAAACACTTTTTGTGACACAACAATTCTATGTTTATATCTTCAGGAATCCTCAACTCTTCAGTTGGATCAGGGAATGGCTTTTGCTTTGTCTACTCAACTGTACCCAGGTAAAGAATGTTCTGCACCTCAAACTTTGGGCTAAACTGGGATAAAAATGTAGTCTACGCAAAAGCATGTGCCTCTCTTCATTTTATTCCCTGGACTGATAATGACTTTGCTAAAGTCTTGGGTCAGGAGAGTATGGTTATCTATCCAAATCTTATTACCAGAAGCACATTTTGTACTGCAGCATTTTTACTATAAAAATCCCTTTGGTAAATTTGTAGGCTACTACAAATGCCACCTTATTCTTTCTCTCTTCCCCCCTTTCTGCCAATGTTAACTTATGTATTCAAGGCATTTGAAATCATGACGTAAAATTTCACTTTCAGAAAGTATGGTATCAGTTTAATTAGAAATTACCAGTATCTCTTAGTTACTGGGCAAAGTATGTTAATGCTCTTTTATGTTTTGTATGCATTGTATCCTATTGGTAACCTACTGGTGAAATGTTTAAAAGCAGTAGCGAGAGCTTGATATGTTTGATGATCTATTCTCCCAACAATCCTTTAAACCAACTCTCCAGATGCTCTAAGAGCAGATTTTTGATCAGGCTGTGCATAGGGAAGATGAAATATCCATATTCCTCTCTACCTTCATTAGAGGTTTCTGCTGGAACAAAGAACATTTAGTTGCTGGAGAGATGCCAAATGGGTATCACTTTCATGTAGTTATTATTTTCTCTGTTAATATGTTTCTCTTGGCCTTGTTTCATTATTTTTATTTTTGCTCTGGTTTGTTACTCAATTTGGGGTCTTAATAGAATGGGATGCATCATTTGACATGTCCACAAACACAAAGTGTTGGAAATTGGCAGCCTCAAAATGAAACAAACAAAAAAATCTCACAACTGCAGGACCCATCTTTTGAAAGTTTTAAACCTTCCTTTGTCTTAATGGGGATAGTATAGGATTTCAGCTGAGACAACTTTTTAATTTGAAAGTTCCCAGGAGAATTTGATCACCACTGAAGATGGATTCAAATTTCAAATAACAGGTGAAATCTGATCTCTCTGGTGACTCACTTGAAATCTGTTTAGGAACACACCTGTGCTTATTTTTACCCAAAGTCTACTAGGTTGAAAAAAGCTGATGATAAAACAATTTTTCACAAACCATGGGTGAATATGATATAAACTATTTATATCTGGAAGTATGCTTCACAAAGGACATTTCTAACTATCTTAATATTATTATAAAACCATTAAATACTTGTTACACATAGAAATAAAAGCTACATAGAATAATATATTAGACTTTACATCTGAAATACTGTTAATTATAGTAAATATTCAGTAAACCATAAAATCAAAAGGAGCATAGTTTCCCGTTATAATAATTAAAACCGTTTCTTAAACCATAACAGCAGAAGAAACTTTCTGACATATTCTGGTTAATACAGATCAACTGAAAATTAATTCTTTTCCTAAGGCATTTTTCAATTTCAGTTGAATGAAACGTGAATAGCTCTTAAAATAGCCAATTTCATGCATACTGAATGACCTACCTTAAATAACTAACAGAAGGAAGTATTGCCATAGCACTTTCTGACTATTCAAAGTTATTTTTATACATTTTTAGTACTGCATAATAGAAAGGGCTCTCAGTCATACACAGTATTTTTAGAAAAGAAAACTGGCAAGAAATTTTTGCACAGGGTTTTATTAGAAACCATGACCAGTGCCCGGGGGAGGGGGGGAGCCCAAATGTTCGATTATGGAATGCCAAGAGATGGCATTATTTAACTTAATCTGTCCTATGGTAGGGCAGATAAAAAGGTGAAAAATAAAACAAATTGTATTTATTAAAATTAAAACAACATTTAATCAAATATGAAAGCTCTACAGAATGCACAAAGTTGTGAAAGAAAGTTTGTGAATATTTAGCAAATAAAGGAATGGGACACAAACTTATGTATACTCTTTAAGTCACATACTTTCTGCTATCCCAGTAAGTAGCACAGAGCTTGTTCTTTCATATGTAATGAATAATACTGAATTAATAAGAAGCAAAAAACCCTAGAATGCTTGCACTCCCAGACCCACCATTTGCCCCACTACCATGCAAACAGCATTACCAAATTTGCATCAATTTACCATACTTACAGATCCTCTGAGAAACAGTATTGGAACCCCCATGCCAAATCTCTCCTTTAAAGCACATATTGCAGACATCAGTTTATATGCTTGCTGACCAAAATCTTCAAAACTGTCTTGACGGTCAATTACTGGAGCACAACGAATGTTCCTAGAACTGCACCAAAATGTATATATTGTTTATAACTGGTATTAAAAAAATGGGTGTTTGTGTGTATGTGTTATTTATCTCTTTCTTATACAGGTATACAAAGTCAAATCATTAGCATTACAACCTTGCATAATCGGAAAAGCAACCTAGAAAATGCTTCTTTTCTAATCACTGCAGTTATCAAGACCAATGGGCAAATTAGTCTTCATCCTATTTATGCTTCTTGATGCAACAGCATTAGTAAAATACCTTCAAACTTATCTTTTTCAATATTCTCACAATACTATGACTCTCATTCATCATGTTTCTTGGACATTAGTATGTTTGTTTCAATTGCATTTCTTTATGTATCATTATCTTTCCCATATAAATCTCTACAATTTTCAATATTCTTTCATTTTCCTTTCATCTTTAAGAATGTTATTATTTTATTTTCTATTTTTAAGTTCAAATATTAAACTTCATTCAATTTGCCATCAAACACAAACACACACCATATACACAAACATTTAAATGTCTCATCACTCTTAGATCACTGTTTGTAAAACGCATTTTTATAAGCAGACATACAGTATTTCACATTTATTACTAGTCTCCAAATAGCCCAATAACTTTTTCTTTATTCTCATCTCACTCCTACTCATACATTCATGTAATCTAATAAAAAAAAATCCTTCTGCCCCATAATTGCATTGATCAGAATGTTGCCCAATGGTTTCCAAACCGATCTCTGTTTGTCTCTCAAACAATAAAGCCTAAAGCATTCAGGGTTGTAAATAGTGAAACAACTGAAAATCAGTAATGCTCTTTCAATCCAGACAGGATATGGACTCCAGGATTTTGCACTGGTTGAATGTCCACCTACGTCATTCTATACCAATTAAAGCATCTAGGCACTTTTCAGAGATAACGTCAAACTGAACATTTGGCAATATTCTATTGTAATGCTATCAATGCCTGGATTGATGGTTGCCAGGTCTGGCTGTTTTAACTGCAATCTTGATGCAGCCTCACAAACTTTTATTATGTCTTCTGTATGGTCCACTGCACCTCAGCTGTATTTTATTCAAATTAGAAAATCCAAGGACTTTAGCTTGAAAGAAATAGGGTAGGTGGCCCAATGTCAGATCAGATAACAATAATAAGGGTTCAAAAACTTTCATGTCCCTAGATAATTCTAGTTCTGAGCTATGGTAACTGATCTCACAGATTTATTGTGACAATAAAATATAGAAAATCTATCTTTGGCACCTTAATTCTTTAAATTATAAATGTAAAATAATAATAGTGATACTAAAATAAAATTATATTCTGTGAATTAGCTTTTGGCAGTGAATGACTGAATGGCATACCATACACTGATATATTCTTCATTTTAAAAGTAATGATGGTTTAAGAATACTTCATTAGCAGAGAGCCATTATCCATTTATCTGCTGAGGGAAGGTGGTTCCAAACCTTAAATCTTTGGGGTGCAACATTTACCTCGATCTGCAATTATCGCAACATTTTTCTGTTCCCATGATGCCTGTCGATGCCTTTCGGAGTTGTTTGTCTTCAAAATGAGACAAGATGATTCTGCCCAAGAGAACGTTGGGAATTAAATAAAAGAACAAGAAGGTACATGTTAAATTCATTGAAGAAAACAATGAGCTGAAATCATCATCATTAATTAATTCACATAGGAGCTAATTATTTGTCCTTGAATCATCCTGAGACAGACATATTTTGTTCAAAGTATGGAACTGATGGCACAAGTGCAAAAATCCAGCAGAACCCTCTATGACTTAGCTTTACTAAAAGCTACTATTGTCACTTGCTAAAATATACAACATAAACACTTACCTCCGCCTACAGCTGTTTAAGCTTAGATATTTCTCAATCTTGGCCATCATCTTCAGTTTGTACAGGCGAAAGTTATCATTATGTATCTCACTGATTAGGTGTCTTAAAAAGGAAAAGAATAGGAAAAAAACTTAAATACTGATAATTCATCTGATTTTTTTTCTGCTGTCTCCCCTTCCCCTTGTAAATATATAATAGGAAATATATAGGAATGTATGATGTTATATAACATCAATCAACAATTTGCTACCAGTATATACATAGCAAGAATATATCAATATCGTGGTGGCCATAGCATATGGAAGACTGTGACTTGGAAAATGAGAGGGATAAATAATAAAGAGAATGAATTAAGAAATGAAATGAAGGAAGGAAAGAAAGAAAAGCAGATTATGTTGTATATTTGTGAAACTAAGAAAAGGGTAGGGCAGTGATGTCGAACCTTTCTGTCCTCGCATGCCAAAATTGTGTGCGTGCATGCGATACCGTGCTCACGTGTGCCCCACATCCACAATGTAATGCGCCCTATGCATGCGTGTATGACACCCTCCCCCTGCGCATGCACACACGATCCCTCCTCCAGCTAGGGGGGAGTTTTCGCTCTCCCCAGGCTCCGGAGGCGAAGGCTTCAGGGAGAACCTCTGGAGCCTGGGGGAGGCCGTTTTCACCCTCCCAGAAACTCAAAGAAAGCCTCTGGAGCGGAAGGAGGAAAAACAGAACTTTTGGATGGAACGGAAGTTCGGAAACAGACTGTTTGGAAATGGACTGTCCCCCAGAGGCCCTCTAGAAGCTGGAAACAGTCCGTTTCCGAACTTCCAGTAAGCCAGGAAGTTCCATTTTTTGCCTTCCCCCAGCTCCAGAAGCTTTCCTAGAGCCCAGGGAGGGCAAAAACTCCCCCATCCCTCCGGAGAGGCCGAAAATCAGCTGGCTGGCACGCATACGTGCTGAGGTGACATAGGGCAATGGCTTGCATGCCCACAGAGATGGCTCCGCATGCCACCTGTGGCACACATGCCATAGGTTCACCATCACAGGGGGTAGGGCATAGCATTGTATGATGGTTTTCAGATTTTGAGGAGTACAGTGGCTGAATAAAGGGAGTATAGGGAGTATGTATTTCCCTAATCCTTGAACCAGGTTAAGAATAAGCCCATATAATAAATAAAGGTGTTATCTTAAATATTATTCTGTTAAGTGTCATAAGTGGATGAATAAAACTTGTTAAATATATGTAATGAGTGGGTCATTCAGAGATCCTGTTTCATGAGTATCTCCTTAAAATAATGGTAGTTATTTAAAATATATGTGTTAAACAGAAGTCCATTCATGGCATATTCTTCCCCATTCATGAGAAAAGAATAAATATAAATTTCAAAGACTTATTTTAATTGTTATTGTTTATGATTAAGTTAATTAGTAGAGGTTAGAAAGATAACCAACTCTGAACAAAGGACAGGCCATTATTTCATAGTGTCAAGAATAGATTTTGGGGGTGGGAAAAGGACATAGAAGAAAAGGAAAGAATGAAAAAAAGAACTGCAGAAAAAACTTGTAAGAAAGTACAAGGTAGATTAGAATGAACAGAAAGACAAACGGAAGCTGCTTGAGTCACAAAAATCAATTTACATTATGAATGCTACAGGAATGAAAGGAGCTATGCTAATGAGGTATAAAACTGCTTAGTTTCATACCTCATAAATACCTCATTCTACAATGCTTAGTAGAAAAAGTAAATCTCTAAATGAAAAAAAAAAATATAAAGTTACAAAAAAGCTGAAATAAAAATACTATGTAAGGTATAAAGAAATAAAGATGCACTTGAACAAAAAGTAGTCACAAAATGAAGATTAAAAGAGAAAAGAAAATGCAAAGTTATTTCCACAAATAAAAACATTTGGATGTGGGTGAAAAGGAGTTTTCACAAGGTGGATGGAATTAAGAATTAAATTTATGAAATGATCTGGAATGCAAATGAAATGGGAACACACTTGGAAACATGTTGGTGATTTTTATGGGAAGGAGTATGATATGTCAAGTAGAATTCAAATGGTTACTAAGATTTAGTATCAAGGAAAAAATATGAAAAGGAAGATGCAAAATATATGAGAATGCTTTTAAAAAGGATAGGGATGTAGGAATAGATAGTAGTACAACTGGAGGAATGTGAAAATAAGGCTTGTTGATGAAGAAGCTATCAAACTTAATGAGACATTGTATGTCTGCTTGACATACAATGTTATGTTGTTAAGATCCTGAATGACTCGCAACATGACAGATTGTAATATCCTAAAAGTTATATGGACCTGAACTTTGATGTATTAAAGATCAATATAAGAAAAAAGCACCCCTGACAATCATGGTATGTATGTATCAAATTTTTAAAATAGTAAATAATTCTCACTTGTTTTCCTCACAGTGCAGGTCTAATGCACGGGAAATGAATTATACAATAGTGCCACAGTAACTCATACTTTGAATTTGTAATCCCATTGTAAAATTCAAACATCAATGAAATATTAAACTTGGCCAACCAACTTTTATGTACAGGTAGTCCTCTCTCAGGGACCAGAATTGGGACTGGCTACTCAGTTGTTAAGTGAAGTGGTCAGTAAGTAAAACAGCAACTATGTGTACGGTCTTACTTCCGTTTTCAGCTTTTATTTGCTTTACAAATCTGCCAATGATGTAAATGTGAGTATTGGTCACATTACTTTTTCATCACATTCATAATTGTGAACAGTCACTAAACAAAGCAGTGACTAAACAATGGCTACCTGCAAATGTTTAAAATATTCAACATGGTTGTTTTAACATTTATACATACAAAGCAAGTCAGAATTGCAGTTACCTATTAAAGCTCATGTCAGCTGGAGTCCACAATACATAGCAAGAGGCTGGAAGCCCATCACGGCCAGCCCTTCCAATTTCCTGGTAGTATGATTCCATTTCCTTTGGGGCTCCATAATGTATAACTGTCCGAATGTCTGCTTTATTTATGCCCATTCCAAAGGCTATAGTAGCGACTATACACTGCAGAGAAGAACCAAAATCTCCAATATCAAAGTTACATTCATCTCAATATTAATGCACTTTTCAGTATTAATATTTGATCTGCATGAAGTATTTTTATACTATGACTTGTTAATGTTTTGGCAGACTCAGCTTAGAAACACAATATTTGAATTCCAAGTCATTTATATTATTTACTAAATCCAATACATATGTTAAAATGTCACTGCTGAGGACAAGAATCCCAATTAAAGTGTCCCCAAATATCATCTTCTAGGAAAACACATACAGTGAAGTGAACTGTAGAGGAGATGACAAAGCAGTGGTGGGTTCTGGAACGCCGGGCCACGGTTGCAACAGGGCCCAGTGTTCTCCACATGAACGCGCACGGCACACGCATACACCTTCCAGCGACGCCTCCGCAAGCCTCCACGGCGCTCCAGCTGCTCGGCAGAGCATCGTATAGGTGCTGTACATGCCATGTGCGGAAGCGCCGAAGGCTTTAAAGGACAGGTAAGGAGCTTGGGCGGGTGGGCCCTCCGGAGCACCGTACTGGAACGGTACCCGGTGCTCCAGTCAGGCTCCGGTACACCCATACCGGGCCCTACCTCCTGCAACTCACCACTGTGACAAAGCTGAGTCTGAGAGAGAGGTCAAACATGTCATCAGTCTCAAGTCACTTCAAGACCACAAAACATCTATGTCCAGCCCACTTTGTATTCCAGTGAGTCTTATCTACTGCCAATTTGCTTGGACCATTAGTAGTTTAGATACTTTTAGAGAGTTTAAGCTTGCAATAAATCTTTATACCCATTTGAACTGTCTGGACCATGGGCCCTCAAACTATGGTCAAGGGCCACATGCAGCCTGTTGAAGTCATTCATTTGGCCCGCACAGGACCACAAGGCTGCCTCACCCACATTGCCCCACCCACCTTCGGCCCCAGGCGGTCAAAAAACAGGTAAAACAGTCTGTTTTTGACCAAAACTTTGCCCATTTCTTGCCTGCAAAATGCTTCTGGAGGTGGGGGAGGTGAAGAATGGGGTGCACAGACACCTCAGGAGGCAAAAAACTGGGTTTATTTTTCACCTCCCCCACCTGAAGAAGATAAATAGAGAAAGAGAGAGAGAGAGAGAAAGAGAGAGAGACAGAGAGACTTGTTGATTGTAAGCTCCTTGGGGCTAAGAAGAATTGCTGCAAAACTGAGTTTCCTGAAATGGACCAGTAGACTCCTAAACAACTGAAAAAATGATCTAGTAAAAAGAAAAGTCAAACAAAAGAGCAACATGCACCAAAAGCAAATAAAACACACCCAGGAGCAAAACAAATTAAAGTTAAATTTGTGTGCAGTTTGATGGACTGTTAAATTGGCCACGGCCCCCTAGCCACATGACCTAGCCACGCCCACCCAGCCGGTCTGGCCCCCAAATAGTCTGAGGGACTGTGAATTGGACCCCTATTTAAAAAGCTTGAGGACCTCGGTCTGGACCTTCTGATTTCCCAGGGTTTGACAATCCCACTGTCAAAAAAGCTCTTGGGAAGTAATCTTGCTTTAAATAGTCAACCAGAATCTGCCTTCCTGATTTGGGGAGAGAACCTAATTTAGATCTGCAAGAATCAAAACATATCATGCAATAACAAGAAGAGAATTTGGGGAGGGGGGAATCATTTAAGTAAGCTGTTAAAGACTCAGTTGTAGTGATCAATTGTAGCATAGATTTAACTGTTTCAAGCTTCCACACACAAATATTAAATATAATTTTGGGTCATTTTTCTCAAAAAATAAATGAACAAGTATAATGTTTTAGACTCATTTGTTTAATGTGTTCTCTATCTATCATTACCATATTTCCCTGAAAATAAGACCGAGTCATATTAATTTTTGCTCCAAAAGATACATTAAGGCTTATTTTCCGATTAAGTCTTATTTTGGGGAAAATATAGTAAATGCATCTGTCCGGCTGACAATCTTAACTGGGGCTTATTTTGGGGGTAGGGCTTATATTACAAACAGCCTGAAAATTAATGCTAGGGCTTATTTTCTGGTTAGGTCTTATTTTTGGGAAAACACAGTAGTTTTAGGACTTGATCATGTTTATGCAGAAATACTGAAATTCAGAAGGCTTCACAAAAAGCAGCACTATACATATATGTGTGTGTGTGTGTGTGTGTGTGTGTGTGTGTGTGTGTGTGTGTGTGTGTGTGTACACAAACATACATACACTCAAACATACACACACATATAT